AACAACTGAGATAATCCATCCACAATACGAGGTTAGTCATTCATATACTGCTGCATGGGCTGGGCTGTAGTTACATCCTAAGCTATTAAAAACTGAGCGTTTGCTATCTTCTTTTTCCCATCACCACCAACTGGTTGTGGCAAATAGCTGCCCCTCCTTGAACATGGTTTTGCTGGAACTTTCTTCCTGCTGAAAGGGAGGTTTTCTGTCCCACTGTTGCCAAGTGCTTGCTCGTAATAGATCGCCTGCTCATTGGGTTTTTTAATCTAATATATTAGCGTCTTTAATCCACAATGCAAAGGGCCTGGGGGTGACTTTATTGTGAATTGGTACTTGTTATGTGCAGCAGTGAATGCAATGTTACGTTTGCTGTAGTGTGAATGTGTAAAAAGCTGCTTTAAATTAAAAGAGCAGGAAGACAACTCAAGATGTATAACCAGTGCTTCACATTTACATGTTCAAATGCAATACCTTATCAGATCTTGATTTAATTACTTTACTAAGTTCTGAGCAGATGGCAAAATTTGCTTCATATAATGTGAAAAGTTGTTGTTCTCACATAGGAGAAACACAATTTAATAACAACAACACTGTAAAAGAAGAGGGTCAAAGCAAATGAACCAAGAAATATTCAGTCATAATTAAAAGGGACCATGCCGTGTTGTTTAATCCATTAGCCCATTAACTTTTTGTCAGGATGTCCATGGCGGCATGTTATCATACTTTTGGTCTCCGTGTGATCGTCTTGGGAAATTGGCAAATGATGTGTTGGTGCGATAATCCCAAAATATGCTTCTTTACCAGCTCAGGAATGCAGGCAGTGTCTGTGCCAGTGTCAGGCTTTTGAAACCAGTGGGAGATGCACTCTCTGCAGCTTAAAACACGCTGTGGAAACAAATCAAATGAATGTAAAGGTGAGGATGATGCATAGCTTTAATTTCCTCACACAGACTTTCTATCAATAGTTCACTTACTACCATATTAACACAATCTTTGAGTGAATGGCTGTCTAGTAAGGTGTGAAATGCCATATGTAGCGGGGCGATCAAATTTGATGGTCACTTGAACGGACTCTTCTGGAAATGGCCAAGCTCCTGAGATGCATAACAGCTGTTTTCACAGCAGATTGAAAGTGTGTCCCTTAGGGGCTCTTAAGTTTCTTAAGAGAGTAAAACAAAGATTTAAGGGTATGCAGTGGCTTTATCTGCCAGACAACAATATATTGGTGCTTTTCCGCCTTTAACTGGGGATGCTGCATTCTGACAAAAGGCAGTAATCTTGAGTTTTTACCCACTGTGTTTATTTTTCCACTGAAAATACTGATACAGCTTTGTATCTAAGCTTATGAGCTCCATGGGTGTTAGACATTGTGACTGTTATTACTACCACAACATTACTGAACATTTATATTTTTAAAGCAAGTTTAATTCATTGATATTAATATGTAGTGCAGTCATATTCAGTTATTGTTGAATTCTGAACTCTGTTATCTCACCCGTGGACTTAAATACGAGGACACAGGAGTGTGGCGTTATCTGTGACCTTGCAGTGCTTTTGATGGGAGCATCTCTTATCCAAATAACTACAAACTTGACACTAGGATTAAATCTTGAGCAACACATGTGGCAAGTTTTGAATAGGATTGACTGGTGATCAAGATTGGCAAAGAGCAGACAGACTAACATATACAACAGGTACAGCAGGTTTTCCACTGCTGTTATAGATTTGGTGGTTTGATCTCTGACCTCACCATGAGCTCAAGTGTCCTTTGACA